CGCCGAGCAGGGAGCCCGATGCGGGACTCGATCCCGGGACTCCAGGATCATGACCTGAGCCGAAGGCAGTCGCTTAACCGACTGAGCCACCCAGGCGCCCGCCCTTGAACATCTTTTTAAAAATTAAATTTACCCTGGGGCTCCTGGGTGGCTCAGTCAGTTAAGCGTCCGACTCTTGATTTTTCCACTTGGGTCATGATCTCAGCGTCCTGGGATGGAGCCCCACGTTGGGCTCCACGCTCAGTGGGGAGTCTGCTTGAGGATTCTCTCTCGCCTCTCCCTCTGCCTCTCCCCGTGTGTGTGCGTGCACATGTGCACTCTCCCTTGAAAATAAATAACGATAAATTTAATTTTTTTAAAGATTTAAGTATTTCATATTTATGCTATTGTAAATGGATTTTTTAAAAATCTGTGTGTGAAAATACTGCTGACTTGTATTGATCTTATTCTTGAAGAGGGTAGGTATTCAGAAAGCCTTTGCTTCTGGGCTTTCCCCTCCATTGCAGAGTGAGGCCATGGCTCAGGAGATATGAAAGAACGAGGGTTAGCGGTGTCCACTGTGTTTTTTGGCCTGAATGGGGCCAAAAAAGAGTGGCAGAAAGTGCCCCCCTCCCCAGGAACTAGCCCAGATGGTGGCTGCAGCTAGCCCTGGGCCTCCCTGAGGAGGATGCCATGTGCTCCTCAGTGCCCAAAGGTCTTTCCATAGAGTTCACTGATATTTGCTTATTTTGCAAGTTCTCCTGTGGGTGTGTTTCTCGCTATCCATGAACTGTGAATTGCTGTGAACCCAGTTTAAAAATAAAGGTTTCATATCAGAGCCAAGCTCCTGGTAGTCATGTGGGCACGAAGAATGACAACAGAGGTGATACTGACAATATTCGGCAAGCTACAACTGACAGCACTGCCTAGGAGTCAGGGATTTGGCTTGTTCTCTAGGTTTAGCCTCTGTGGGTGGAGCCCTGCGTGTCTCATGTCACAAAGGAGGGGGAAGTCCTAGGGCTACACTGTCTCTGTGACCTTGGGAGAATTCTGAACATTCTTGATCCTTAATTTTCCTGTCTATAAAATAGGCAGCTTCTTTCTCCCTGGGCAGTTTTGTAATCCCTGTGGAAATGATCCCAGAGTAAAACTTTGAGTTGCCCTATGAAGGTAAAGTCTGCCAGGATCCAGGCACATTGCACCCTCAGCTTCTTGAGGGCAAACCCTACAACTGCCTGGAATGGTGGGTGGTTTCCCTGGCATCTGTGCGAGGAAACGTGGACCGGGGAGCAAAGAGGTCATGTCTGTAGAGGGAGACCTGGGTGATTCTGGGCAAATTCCTGAATATTAGACACATCAGATCCCTTATCTGTAAAACGGGGATGATTGCATAACCCCAAGATTGTCCTGGGGATTCAAAGAGATAGGGAGTTTTAGCATAGTAACTGGAACTCGCTACTGAGTACCTATTAAATTCTAGATATTACTATTTCTGCTTTTAATGTTATTACTGTTATAACCGTAATGTTGAACCATTTCTGTATATTCAGTATGTCAGCATCTGGCTGCTTATTACCACCTCATATCTCTGTCCATATTGCTGAAGTCAGTGTCTGGGATGCTAGGGTTTATTGGTTAGTACTGTATCGGGTCATAGGTCAGAGAGTGATAGAAATTTATTTCCTCAGCCTGTCCCCCTGTGGAAAGTAGCAAAGGCAGAGCTGTGGTTGAAATCTAAAATTTTGCTGTGTAATTCCAGGGGTGGGAGATACTGAAAATTGTCCATATATTCCAGAAACTTTCCTTGGAAACTTAGTGTTTCTTTTTCTGTCCTTTACTTTAGGTTGGTCAGCACGTTGACACAAGTTGCCTTTTGACGTAGCTGCTGCCATGGCCAGCTGGTAGGACCAGCATCCCATGCACAGAAGCCAGGTGAGTGTTTGGGGTCTGATATCTGTGGAATGAAGGCTCTTGATTGACTTGCCCGGCGAGCTTCATTCAGCTCCTTGGACATTTGAAACTGAGCATTGCTTAGAAGCTTACAGCCACCTTCTAGAGGAAATGGAGGGAGGCTGTCACCACGGGATCACCCAGGCCCTGCCCGTTGCTTCCAGGGAGGCCATTTGTTCTCACTTTCTGTCTCAGGGTTCACTCACTTGAAAAGCCCAGGCCTAAATGGGATAAACCTTCCTGGGAGTATCAGGAGCAGAGGATAATCCTGGCCAGGTGGCCTTTGCCCTCTGGCCATTTTTGTGATTTCCCAACACTGACCAAAATGAGTAGAATTTTTTCTGACCACTGTCGATGGCACAAGGCCTGGCACTGGTGCTTGGAGCTGGTTGCCCTGACCCCCGACTCAAGCCTGTGAGGAAACTGAGCCAGCCTCACCCCCCTGCTTAGGGTTCTCAAGTGGATTCTCAAGGGCTGTCAGAACCCAGCAGGACAGATCTTGACACCTCGGTGGGATTTTTGTCTTGTTACCAGCAGGGTCTGGCCAGCCATGTTTTGGCCCAGGACTGTCTGTCCATCTGGAGAAGAATGTAGAGCTAAGAGTTAGAACTTGAAGGCAGGTTGGAGACCTCCTGGGTTGGTCAGCTGCTCCTGGGTTGGTCAGCTGCTCCCTCTCCCAGGCCAGCCAGCAGGTGACTTCCTGAGGAGTGCATGCCCCTTTAACAGCGCCATAGCCGCATGGGGTGAGAACCAGCCGCCTGGATTTGCCCGCTTCTTAACAAGAGTTGGGATTGGCTTTGTGAGGTTTTGGCTCTTATTTACATATAGCAAAAAAAAAAAAAGCAAAACACATGAGCATGGTCAAGTAATCCTGTTAGTGGGAAAACATTTCCAGAATGTTCTTCTAACAAACAAGCTTTACCAGTGCTTTAAAAAATGTTTTTTAAAGATTTTATTTATTTATTTGAGAGAGTGCGTTGCAACCATGAGTTGGGGGGAGGGACAGAGGGAGAAGCAGATTCCCTGCTGCGCAGGGAGCCCGGCTTTAAAAAATTTTTTTAACGATCAAGATATAATTTGTTGGGCGCCTGGGTGGCTCAGTTGGTTAAGTGACTGCCTTCGGCTCAGGTCATGGTCCCAGAGTCCTGGGATCGAGTCCCAGAGTCCTGGGATTGAGTCCCACGTCGGGCTCCCAGCTCAGCGGGGAGCCTGCTTCTCCCTCTGACCCTCTCCTCTCTCATGCTGTTTCTCTCTCCCTTGCTCTCTAATAAATAAATAAATAAAATCTTAAAAAAAAAAAAAAGTCAGCAGAATTGAAGGACCAAAGTGGTGACTGGGTGGAGTCTGAGCCCCTGACAGGTCCCCAGGAAGGTTCCTGGGGTTCTCTTGCAGCTGCAGGCAGAATGTACCAAGTGAAGATCATGATTGCAAAGAGATCTCTATCCATTCTTTGGGGCAGGACGGGGTGCAAGGCTATGACAGTGCTGCCTGTCTGCCCAGGACCTGCCCTAGAGTGGGGCAGTTGGAGGCACTGTGGTATGGATCTGCATCCTCCTGGTCCCCAGAAGGGGTGCTCCCCACCCCCCTTCATGAAGTTTCCCTGGCACGGATGACCCCTTTCTTCCTAGCCTGGTTACCTGGAGAAGTTGGGCCCTGCAGCTCCCTTCCTACTGCAGGACATCCCCAAGGACCCCCTGGTCCTCTAGCAGATCAGCCCCAGTGTGCTCAAGTCACTTTGTGTCCCAGCTCAAACATCCCTGTTTGTTTTCTTTTCTTTTTAAGATTTTATTTATTTGACAGAGGGAGACACAGCTAGAGAGGAAACACAAGCAGGGGGAGTGGGAGAGAGAGAAGCAGGCTTCCTGCCAAGCAGGGAGCCCGGTGAGGGGCTTGATCCCGGGACCCTGGGATTATGACCTGAGCCAAAGGCAGACGCCCAATGACTGAGCCACCCAGGCGCCCCAAACATCCCTATTTCAAGAAGGACTCACCCCAGCCCATCCCCTCCCAGCCCTGTGCCCATCAAGGTCCTTCACATGCCTGTGCTTTTCCTTAGAGCTTTGGTCTGATGCTCAGGCATGAGTGCTGAGGAACCGCTTGCTTCTCTAAGTGGGTTAAAGTTTCAGCCACTGCAGTAATTGAGTTTATAGCACATAATTTCCTTATACGATGGACCTATTTATCTTGAGAGTGTGTAGGGCTTTTAGGATGGTATAAAATTGACCCGTGTAGTGAGACAGGCTGACCCTTTGGTGAGCTCTCTGCACTCAGCACTTTTTGAAACTAAATTTCTTCTGACTTGTCAAAAGGGGTAACCTTGAGTCCTGGGCTCAGATTGAATTAACATGTTCAAGTCCCTTTTTTGAAACCTGTTTTCCTCTGTAGTTAATTCTCTGATAATACTTATTTTGGAAAAGCAGATTTGTTCCAACACTATTGATATATTAGGGCACAGTTGAAAGCACGACACATATGTTGTGTGTGGTTACGTACAATTTTGTCCAGGAGAAGTGCCAGGTTCGGGTTAGGGGTTGGGAAGCTATGGCCCACAGGCTGGTGGTCTGTTTTGGTAAATAAAGTTTGGTTGGGACACAGCTGTGCCCATTTGAGGATGTACTATTACAACTGCAGAGCTGAGTAATCAGGACAGAAACAGAATGACCCACAGAGCTGAAAATGTTTACTGTGTTGTGTCCCTTTAAGAAAAAGTTTGCCAACTCCTGCACTAGGTGAATCCAGAAAATTGCTCCCAGCTAAAAGAGCACCTGACAGTACACAAAATGGAAATGCACACACCTCAGATATGCGCCAGGCCCCCTCTAGGCCACACCATTTTCTCTTGGGGTCACACAGCCTCATTCCAGCATGTCACAGAAAACACTCAGAAAACAGCCACAGCAAATGCCAGGTCTTCCCTCAGGTGAGGGGTCAAGCTTCAGGTAGTATTTGTGTATTTCTTGGCTACCATTTAAAAATCAGGTTCCTGTCTTTCTTTATGTCATGATGAAGTTTTGGGGTGTTGTGTACCTAACCCTATTGTTCCCGTAGCCCTGTGTTTTTATTGCACAATTTTGCAGTATGCCGTGGTTTTTTAGAAATTGCATATACGTTGTGCTCCAGCAGAACTTTTACTGTACTTAGAAAGCAAACATCAAAAAGTATGATCTCACTCAACAACATAAAGTTGCAATCATTAATATCTCATCTGGACCTTGTGGGTGAGAGGTCAAGCCCAATTTTGTACTTATGAGGAGCTCCCAGTATCCTTTGGAAACCTCACATGTGACTCTGGGTGGTTAATGGAGTCTTTCAATTGGGACTGCCTGGAGCATGGGCTTCAGTTCCCAGCTTTTCTCACCCATTTGCTGTGTGACTGCCACCTGCCTCAGTTTCTCCACCTGTAAGGTGGGGGCAGATGATGGCACTTACCTCACAGGTGGTTATGAGGATCATCTGAGGTGATCCATGTGACATAAAAGCTCAGTGTTAGGTGTTTTGCCCTTAAAAGTAAGAAGACCCCACATTTCTATTAACAACAGGGGAGCAATAAACTTGGGTCATGATCTGAGGATCTGTGTTGAAACGGGGTTGAGCTGTCTGGACCAGCCCCCTTTCCCCTACTGGGAGCTCCTCTCCATAAAACTTATATTTGTTTATTCATTAGGTACCTGTTTTCTATCTGCTGTGTGGCAGGCACTCTTTTCTTCCAGGGCTAGGGACATACAGGAACATTGACACCGAGGCCCAGCTGTCATGTAGCCTGTTACCTGGTGGGTGGTGGTGACATCTGACTGTGGGGTGTTCCTTTAGCTTCTGGCTGCAGGGTCTTCCCTGTCCTGGCGCTGGGCAGGGCAAATCTTAATTCCCTCAGGCTCAGTTCCCTCTCCTTTGAGGATGGCTGTTTTATCTTCCTCCTCACTAGCCCATGCATCATTTTAGCCCCACCATGTGCTTGTCACTCTAGATGAAAACAATCTCTTTAAACATGAGTTAACAAAAGGCCTTTTGACTATGTAGTGGAATGTTCACAGTGGGCAGCTTGTGAGAGTGCCAGGTAGAAAGGAATGGTGGACCTGGGTTTCAGGCCCAGACTCTTCGCCTACCTAGACTTGGATTTCCCCACCTTGGGTGACATGCTCATCTTCAACAAGCAGAGGCTTGTTGAGTGAGTGGTGAGTGTCAGCTATCACCCCCCAGCATGTGTGGGTGTACCCCCACCCTGGTCACAGGAATGCTGTGGGGAGGGTCTCCCTAGCATCCTCTTAGTCTAGGTCTTTGAAGGCCCAAGGAGCTCCTAGCCAGGCAGCTGGGCCTAGTGCCTTCTTGATGGTGTACAAGAGAGAAAACACCTGTATTTTTGGAATATCTTAGGTTTTCAGATCCCTGAGAGTTAAGAATCCAGCTTCAGTCAGTGAGTAGTAAGACTTAGTTCTCCTTTTGAGCAAACCTGTAGCACAGGATTCATGTGGCTCCCTTCCTCTGCCTGAGACCCTCCCTCAGTGGCTTGGCCCTCTCCTGCCTAGACCATCTCCCCAGATTCCTGTTTCTCAGCCTCAGTCTGCGAGACTCTATCTCTGTACACTCAGCTTTCAGAAAGTCCAAACGCAGAGGTTTGTGTTTTTGTTTGTTTGTTTGTTCAAGATTTTGTTTATTTGAGGGCACCTGCGTGGCTTAGATGGTTAAGCGTCTGCCTTCAGCTCAGGTCAGGATCCCAGGGTCCTGGGATTGAGTCCCACATCGGGCTCCTGGCTCAGCGGGGAGCCTCCTTCTCCCTCTCCCTTCTCATGCTCTCTCTGTATCTGTCTCAAATGAATAAATTAAAAAAAAATCTTTAAAGATTTTATTTATTTGAGAGAGAGCATGAGCGGGGGGGAGGGGCAGAGGGAGAGAGAGAGACAAGAGAAGCAGACTCCTGTGGAGCAGGGAGCCCAACGTGGGGCTCGATCCCAGGACCCAGAGATCACGACTGAGCCACCTAGGCG